ATCCACCTCTTTCCAGACACGGCCTTATTTTAGCAACACAAGCTGGTCCTTGGAGAACGCTGTCAGACCTCATACGCTGTGCCGTCTGCCCCTCCATGTGTGTGTGTGTGTGTTAGTGTGTGTGTGGTTCTGCAGTCGCATGTGTGTGCACATTTTGCGACGTTTCAGGACCGCAGTGTCATCAAGAAAACATTTCCACTTGAGGTTTGGGATTTCAAGTATTTTTCTTTCTTTCTTTCTTTCTTTCCGTCCCTCTTATTATTCGTCCCTCTGTCATGGAGCAGTCAAATCTACAGGTGAATTATTAATGAGAGGAGGAATTGTCGTTCTACTTCAGATCTCCCACTGCTTCTTACAAGAAAAGTCTCTGAAGGAAGGCAAGCATGAAATACCAAACATTCCTGGCCTTCACTGAAAATTCAGCAGCCATCAAGGAATTTGTGTCCTTTTCTGAGCTCGCGAGCCCCTCGCTGTATGTATATGCGCGCGTGGGACTCTTATTTCCATTTAAATATTCTCCTTTTTCTTTTCTCTTCGCTCGCTCCCACCAGCAAAAAAAAAAAGGGGGGAAAAAAAATAATAATAATCAGCCGTCGCCTTTCCATTCATCCTCCCTCTCTCCCCCTCGCCCCGCTCTGACTCCTCAGATCACCAGGTAAAGCAGCGTTCGGCTGCCTGTGCAATGGTGCAGTGAAAATGAGCAGGAAAGACGGAAGATTTTCAGAAGCATCACTGCGGGCCAAATGCCTTATTATGTCAGATTTACAAATTCCCCACACCCGAGTTGGAGGAAAAAGTGACCTACATAACTACAGACCAGAAAGAGAAAAAAAAAAAAAGACACCAATGGCCCAATTCTCCTCTCCTCCTCTCCCTCATTCTCTCTATCTCTGCTGCTCCCTCTGTAGCTGCTCTCTTTCTCTCTCATTTCGTCACCCCTCGTTTATCTCTATCCTTTTCCCCGACAGCGGCTTGGTGAGTTATCACCCCTCATTCAGATGAGAGGAATGGCGTGTATGACTGCCTTTTTTTTTTTTTTTTTTCTCGTTGTTTTGTTTTTGTTTTCATGCGTGTTTCTTTTGCATAAGTGCGCACTTTCCTATCCATGGGTGTACATCGTGTGTGTGTGTGTGTGTTGGTTGTATGGTTGCTAAAATGGTATGGTCGGCAGAGGGGGGGTGGTTAGGTGATCCAACCAACCTGCTACTAGGTAAACACCATCTGTTCACACAAAATCTCCCCTCTCCGACACCACGACTAGAATAGAGGGATCCAATTGCACCTCTCCTCACACACCTCTTCGATGCCAGGTTCACACCAAGGTGTGTAGGTAGGTGTGCGCTTGTGTGGTAGTGATGATAATAGATAATGACAGAATTGTTGTTTTGGTGTGTTTTTTTTTTTAGATTTTACAACCAGAAACACACAAACATATTTCTTTGTGACTTTGACGCAACCTTTCATCCCTGTGATCTCTGGTTCCTCTGCCTCCCCTCTCCCTTTATATATATATATATATCTGTATCTATATATATCTATATATCTATATATATACACGCTCTGTCAGTCTGTCCATCTGTCTTCTTTCTCCCTCTCTATCTATCTCTGCCTCAGCCTGCAGTAGAATTGAGTCAAATCAATCAATTCAGGTTTCTTGGGCAGACCAGTGGTGTGGCAAGAAATTGACCTTTCTTTTCACTGTGTGTGTGTGTGCGTGTGTGTGTGTGCGTGCGTGAGTGTGTGTTGGTACACAAAGCAGAGGGAAGCAGTTAGAGCTAAGTCACTACTTGCCTCGGAGCTGATTGTACCATCCGCTGTGGCAGCGCCCCCAGCTACCCACTAAGGATCATACACACTCTCTCTCTCTCACACACACACACACAGCTTTTCACCTTCAGCTATAGCAGATATGACAAGTACACGGACGGTGGACACAGCATTAGCGAGGCTTTATGCACCCCCCCTTTTTTTTTTTTTTTCTTTTAGCTTTTATGCTAAGCAGCATGCCATTGCAGGCTTTCCATTTTTACCCGACTGGGTATTGAGTGTATTGAGTGAGTGAGTTAGCCTGGGTTAAGTGGCTGTGCTTAAGGGCACAACAGCACTGCTGCGATCACTGACTGCTCCCGTACAGCTTTGGAACGAGCCCTGCAAAACAAGATAAAGGGCTCATGAAAACACACACACACACACACGCCCGAGCTGACGAGCGACACACACCGAAGCGAACGGACAGTGCGCGAGGAAGAGATGTTTGATTTTCTGTCATCCCTTTGTTTTTGCTAGATTGTCAATTTGTATTTATCTCATTTCCTCTCCTTTTCTCCCACACTCTCATTTATAGATTTCAAACACCTCACACACACACACACACACAGACTCGCCGACGTGCACACACACTCGGAGCGCCAGATGTGGGCTGACGCTCCCCATCTATCCAGAAGGTGGGGGTTTAATAGAGATTTATAATGATTATCAGGAGACTGAGGGAGAATATATTGTTGCTGCTTAAAAGTCTACTGATAGAGGGCACGGATGGATGAAGTGAGAGGATAAAAAAAAAAAAAGTGTAGTTCAGTAGAGACGAGATGTTGGAGAAAATACTGAAAGAGAGCTGTAAACGCATGTATCCTTAGTGTCCATGTGTGCTGCAGGCGAGGTCACACAAATAAAGCCCAAAAATCTGAAGGGCCAGAGCTGCTGGGGCTATAACCCGAAGGCACTGTATTGAAAAGAAATCCACCGCATGTGTTTGTGCACTCCTTTTATTTGCGCTGCTCGACGTGCGTGCTCCACAGCGATTACCCATTACGTGCTCGCGCTGCGTAGTCTTCCATAATATCATGATAATGCACTGTGATTCCTCCACTCCCGGACCCCGCGCGCTCTCAAGAGATTTCTCCGTGGAGGATTTCTTGGCCGACTTGAGCCTTCCACTCCTCCGCCGTAGTCTGTCTGTCCTCATCCCGCCGTTCTGCGCTAAAACTGCTCATAATTATTGTCTTAGCATCCTTCATGTATAATTTATCAGTCGTTTAAAAGCGGAGGTGCATGCAATTAAATCTAGAGGGAGCCTCTGTCTTTGCAAATCTCCCCTTCCTCTGTCCCTTTCATAATTCCTCCCTCCCCTCTCTCTCTCTCCTACACGAGCTCTCGGTCTCGTCCTTTTACTCTCTTGTGTTATCCTTTTGGCTCTGCGCTGTTGTTGTTGCATCCCGCTTCTCGCTGTCTCTTTTACTCAGTTTTCGAGTCCGTTCTGCCTTTCCCTCTTCTGCTCCCTCTCCTTAATATCTAAATATGTGATGGAAATTGGATAAATCATGCAGAGGTGTTCGCTCTCTCTGTATCCATTTTCTTTTCATCCTTCACTCTTTTGCTCCCTTATTCCCTCTCTCCCAAAGAGAAAGGAGAGGAGAGGCGCAGAGTAATTGGATTCCCCCTAATAGCGAGGGTAATGTTGACAGTACATAAATCCTGCCACTGAAATAGCGCCTCGTTTATCTTCTGATTTTGCCTCATTGTTTTTCGGCGCCTGTTTCCCACCCTCATCTTCCTCCCCCCTCCAACTCCTGTATATGCTTCCCCCCTCCATCCTTCCTTCCTCACCCCGCCCTCCCTTCATCTCCCCCAGGGTCTCATCAGGTAGCCTTGATTGTCTAGATGGGCCCCGTATGGGACAATGCGTCTCCACATAAATTGGTCGACACGGTTTGGTTGCTGCCAAGCAGATATTGGAAGGAACAAGGCGGGGAGGAACATAAACTCAAGACGCAGATAAAAGGGAACATGCACATTGCATCGGATATGTGGTGCAACATAAGGCTTACAGGAAACAATGAAGGATGCACTTGACTCTGCTCTATGCAAATAAAATCTGTTCCTTCTCTCACCCGACATATTTTGTCTCCGTGCCTTCATCTGGTTTCAAGGATGGTGATACTTCAGGGGGGAACCTTAAATCACATTCAGTGTCAAATCTGTAGGTTCCTGTGCCTGTGAAACAACCACTCGCTTAATAGCGTCGACAAATCAGCCTCACAATATTCATGCAAATTCAAAATTGGCAGTGTTGCGATTGAGTATCACACTCTCACCAGAGACAAATTTTAAAAAGGAATGGTCAGAGTCTGTGCAGCAGAGGGTGAGATATGCCGATTTTCACTTACTAATAAGGGTCAAGCCCTAAGAATGCTGGATCCTATTCCATAATTAACTTAAGCAGCTTAATTGCGTCTCTTCATTAGCCTCCTCCTCCTCCTCCTCCTGTCGGACTGGTAAACATCCACATCACATCTCTCAAACTCCACATATGTGTGGTAAGCTTTCTGTTGCAAATGTGTAGCCTCCAAGTCGAGATAACTCACTGATCCCATCACCGTAATCGTTTTTTTAGACGCTCCTGCAGTTGTTTTCATACACCGAGCAGTACCGGCCATTGGTGAAGAGAAGCTGGAGAAAGAAATGTACAATTACTCATCCGTACTCAAATCTGATAATTCAATTTAGTGTCTCCATTTTATAATGCTATAAATCTCATTACGTGACAGAGAGACGTATTGTTCTTTTTATTCCGCAGCAGCTGTACTTATTGTGTTATGTTTATATTCCTATTTTCCATAAAGAGTTTGTGTTTAGCTTAGAAAATAAATCAGTAGTTCCCGAGCATTCTGGTTCGTCGCCCTTACCGTGAAGTTTTTGGGCCACTTGTTTCAAAAGGCTCTCGGTTCACAGTGCCGACAAAGACTGTTTCCCCCTTTAAACTGGGGAAACTTGGATGATTTTAAATAAAGTTACCCCTCATATCATGAACCTTAGAAGAAATCGTTTCTGAGCACAAAATCCCCAAATCCCTATTCATGAGCTACAGAAGCTGAAATAGAAGCATCTACCCGTAAATTGGATGGTAGTTAAAAGCAAAAAGGAGTGGATGGGGAAGAAAAATTAAGACAGAGATAAAGAAGTTTGTGTCACTATTTCCTCCTCTCCTCTTCTGGAAATATCAAACAAGCTCATCAATAATTGACCAAGTGTCTCGCAGTTGATCAGCTATGAACGGCCCTTCATGGCAGTATTAGGAGTCCATCGCACACACACACACACACAAACTTCCCCCGCTTTCATCCCCTTTCATGATCCATCTCATTGACGCGGGAGTCCAGGTCAAGTCCGTTAATCAATCACCAGCGTGGCATTTGAATTGTTTGGTCGCTCTTTAGGCTTCCTGTGTATTTACTCCTCTGATCTCTTCTCCTGCAAACACAGAAACGCTGACAAGGTGAGGCATTAGAGAAGAAGCTCGCCGGACACACACATATACTATAGGTTGAATAGCGCTTTCAGTACATTCTGGACAGTCGCTTTCGCTGTTATCAACAATACGGAGAGTCAAGCGGCAGCATCAAGGTCAAGGCGGGCTCTTTCATCCTGCATCTGTTGCTCGCAGGTTCACTCTCGCCTTTCATATATGATATCCAGGAAGAACAGAGATGAGAGGCCGATATAAGCTTTCTATACTGGCTTCAGTGTAATTTTTTTTTTCCCCCTCCTCACAACTGGCCCTTCACACATCGACTATAGTCAGAGGAGAAACGTGGTATTATTTATTGCTTCCCTGGGTGGTCTGCAGCTGCTCTTAACACAGCGCACAGTCATTTAATTGGAGTGTCAATCTGGGGGAAGCCCACTTCCTCTTCTGTTTAACGCTCACACATAATAACGCACCGCAGCCCGCAGGCGCCGTTACCTTAACCACACATCATAATCATATAATAATCAGATTTTATCTGTCGCCGAGCCAAGGCTGGAGTTACATGCTAAAGATGTGTGATGATAAAAAACGCGCACACACACAAAAAATAAATAAAAAAAAGAGGGGAAGGGGGGAGCCATTTTGTCTGGCGGTGCTGTTGTCCCAACGCCACGGCTGCTGCTTCATCATCCACACACACACTCACACTGACATCTTTCTACAACCAATCAATAGGTCACATTTCTTATTACACTCTGCCACTCATCTAAACCAGTTCTGGCTACGGGCAACACAAACAAACTCACACACACCTACAGTAGCTCTAAAAGCAGACTCGTCTTTTTTAGGCTTCTTTTTTTTCTTTCGTTCATGAGTCACCACAACACTCTTCCATTCCTCCATCCCATCCTTTGATGGCTACAATCTCATCTCCTCCTCACCTCTACTTCGTCACCGCATTTCGAGCACAATCGCAGCCACGCTTTTGAGCCTATTTTTCCTGCCACTTTTCCGTTCACCCTTCTCGCGTCCTCTTGTCCAGCTCTGCCCTCCTTCTCCTCCTTCCGCTCTTTTCTTCGCGCCTCCTCCTCCTCCTCTTCCTTTCTTTCTTTTCTTTTTTTTTTCTTCTTCTTCTTGCTCCTCTCATTTTCCACTTTGCTGCTCTTCTCCTCATCAGTCAGTCAGCCTGCGGTCTGACAAAGATGCAGGGTCTGATGAAGGCTCCAGCCTGTCAGCACATATCTATTCACAAACATACACATGCACACACTTAACACACAGCGTGAGAGCGGGGAGAAAGAGCTGATGAAAAACGGCAAGAAGACAAACAAAGCATCGCGTTCGCTCATATTAGAGTTCCATTTCCATGCGTTTATTTCTTCTAAATGTGTTTTGCGGGCCTGTTGTCAAAAAGGAAAATTGCTGATTCACAGAGATGATTTTCTTGACATTATAATTGGGAGAATGTGAGAGGAGATAAACATTAAAGCCATTGTTTGTGTTCCAGGCTGCAGTGTATGTGATATGGTAGATGTTATCTCTTTCTTTTTTTTTGAAGCCACCATATAACAATTATTGCCAGCCGCCTCTGTAAACAAACTCTAAGGCTGAGAATATGCGCTCCATAAAAGCTATCACACTGTGTATTCAATTTTCACCTTGTTTGGATAAAATCAAAAATGTCATCTCTCTATTATTGCGCTTGACTGTGACCGTTTTCGCTGTCTTTTTTTTGCCGCCTTCCTCTATATTTGACCGGTGTGTTACACAAACTAGTGTTTAGTTCATATTTGTCAAGCTGGCATTTAGCTCCTCAAAAGTTATTGGTACAGGACTTAGCTGCTCGATGAGGCGGCTTTGCTCGCGAATTTCGCCTTCGCACACACACACACAGTGGTATCAAAGGAGATATAATTTTTTTTTAAGTTTTTTTTTTCTAAAAATGAGTTTGATTCTGTCTCCTCTCTTGTAGCGTAGAGTAAACAGACACAGCAGGCCTTTGGTTTGGCATACTGATGTCCTGTGGGAGTCGGTCTATGAGCAAAGATGAAAATATGCACAGTTTGATTCCGAGGAAAGATGTCCTCAACCCTGCCACTTTTTCCTCCAGCGCTGCGTTTCTTCAGGCGCTCTGTTTTCATCCCCTGTTCCCTTGTTAGCCTGTGTTCTCCGTCTCCTGGGTTTTTTCAGAGGAGCGAGTGGGTGATCGGTACGGGGGACCTGCGGTTTGCGCGGATGCACGCGTGGAAAATGCGTGCGCGCTTGAAGTGAGATAATGTGACGGGAAGCTAAAGGAATGGGGCTGCATCTGGTGGATTCGCAAGAACGGACAAGGGTTGTAAAAGCCAAATAATTAGTCGCCGCCGTCCTCCAACTGCAGTGGATCCCGTTCTTGGAGTGCAGAATTTTGGAGATTTATAGAAATGGGACGAAGGAAAAGAAGAACAGACAGTGCTGGCCCTATAGGAGTCAATCTGTTCTCCCACTTCATTGTTGGTTAGAAGAAAAAAAAAATCCCTCCAGAAAAGAGGGCTTGGCTTTAGACTCAGCCCTCTTCTCTCCTGCTACGGCTTTCTGTTGTGGATGTAACAGTTAATCCACTACCACAAGTGCCATCAAGCCCCTTCTGCTGCTTTCACTAACACTCTTCCATACATGCATACACGCCGTTGGCTCCGCTTCCCTTTTCTCTGGACTGTATACAGCCATCCAACAGCTAACCCCCTTGCCACTCCCTTCGCTTTTTCACATGTAGTCATATGCTCGAGTTTCCGAGTCAAACTGGCAGGAAAGGGGAATTTGTCATTGTGCGACGTACGGCGGATAGCATGTGTCAAACAGAAAACACGACAATTCACCCTGATTTTCTGTGGAGCGCTGCAGACAAACACATACAAAAAAACTCCACACATTTTCAGCCAGAAAGAAACTTTTAGAAAAGCATTTGTTAAATGGATCATCAGTAAATGAGGCGCTGCCTGTTAAATGAAGAATCGAATAATGTGCAGTTAACGATAAACAGAACCTCATCATCAGCCTGGTCTAATGATAGTCTAATTGAATTTTTTCATGGCAAAGAATTAGAACGATCATTTTGACAGTGTGAGCCACAGGCTATGATGCAGCTCTGAATTGTCGATAAAAATAGCGAGCCATTTGGATCTGTCATTTCCTGGGTGTTTTTTGTGTGTGTGTGTGTGTGCGTAAGCCTTAATATTTAGTGTTTGTTGTTTTAGGAGCCACTGTAACCCACACTGCTGCATCAGACCTACAGTATAGCACTTTCTATTTTCTGCTCCAGTAAAGAACTGATTAAATTGTAATACTCTCTAACAAATTTTAACCCAGACAGATTAAATTCTCACTGCCGAGAATGTATATAAAGCCCTTTAATGAATTGCATTTTCCCGTTCTCTTAGCGTTATCTTAGCCGTTGTGCGCTCCGGAGCCTGCTTACCGAGGGTGCCTCCAGATGTGACCCGACTCAAGGCTGCCTCTGTCTCAGAGCGAAACGTGCCAGATGGGGGGGGTTGCGGAGCAGCCAGATAGATGGAAGCCAGGGGCCTCCAGGCAAAGAGGAGCCCTGTGACATTGAGGGGCACAAGTGGCCGCAGAGCTGACAAGATGAGAAGTGATATGCCCTCACCATTCCTGTCAGTCACGCCACCTCATTAGAGACAGAGGGGGAAAAAAAAAAAAAAGGAAGCGAGAGAGTATTCAGAGGAAGATGGCAAGAGAGAGAGAGAGAGAGTGTCTATCTGCAGTATTTATGTTAGCAAGGAACCAATTTTTTAGTAGAATTACAATCATGGGAAGGCTCCACAGCTGTCAAGGAACCTAGTTCAAAGATTGTTAAATTAGCATACTGTATGTTTATCACACTGGCATAGCAATGAAGTGTTGCTGCTGCTGCAGAGGCTTGGATTGGGTGCACAGGCTGGCAGGAGAGGAGGAGGAGGGTGGAGGGTGGGGAAGATAACGTGAAGGCATGAAATATTAACCCCTGGCTAAACACCC